AAATCCTCCCCCCACCCTCCTCCAATGATGATTACATTACCATAGGCTCTGCAGAGCAGGGCACTGGAGAAGTCCCAGTCTGGACTCAGCAGCAGGTGGGAGCAGGATGCAGGAACACACCAATCAGGATTGGAAGCAGACAAACTAGCAGGGTTCTGCTTGGACTTCGGCCATTGAAGGGGTTGAGACAGAAGAAAGGGTCCAAGATAGAAGGGTCGAGACCCAAGTAATCCCTCGGCTTTATACCGAGTATGACGTATGTGTGATGGAATACCTAGTTGGTCAGTTTTGGGTCCACTCCTCCCCGTAGGTGCAGATATGGCACCCATGGTGAGATAGTGACCTTGTGATTATCACTTGTAGCAGTACACACTGTCTGGAAAAACATGCTACTAGTTTCAGCAAGTTCAGCCACTTAGAAGAGACTGAGATGAAAAGTAAAATCACTAAATAGAAAATTAGTTTTATTTAGCTCAAACCAGGACAGTACTGGTGAATGAAAAGCTGGACATGAGCCACCAATGTGCATCTGCAGCCCAGAAGACGAACCACATCCTGGGCTGCATCAAAAGAAGTGTCACCAGCAGATCAAAAGAGGTGATTCTACCCCTCTACTCTGCTCAGGTGAGACCTCATCTGGAGCACTGCATCCAGCTTTGGAGTCCCCAGCACAAAAAAGGATATCGAAGTGCTGGAGTGGGTCCAGAGGAGGGCCACAAAAACGGTCAAAGGGCTGAAGCACCTCTCCTACAAAGACAGAGTTGAGGTTGTCCAGCCTGGAGAAAAGAAAGCTCTGGGGAGACCTTATAGCAACCTTCCAGTACCTGAAGGGGGACTACAGGAAAACTGGGGAGGGACTCTTTACCAGGGCAGGTAGCAATAGAAGGAGGAAGAATGGCTTTAAACTGGAAGAGGTTAGATTTAGACTAGATATTAGGAATAAATTCTTTACTCTGAGGGCAGTGAGGCACTGGAACAGGTTGCCCAGGGAAGCTGTGGATGATCCCTCCACTGAAGTGTTCAATGCCAGGCTTGATGGGGCTCTGAGCAACCTGATCTAGTTAAAGATGTCCCTCCTCACTGCAGGAGGGGCTGAACTAGATGACCTTCCAATCCAACACATTCTATGATTCTAGATCCATGGGTCCCAATGGTATGCACCAACGAGTACTGAGGGAGCTGGCAGAAGTCACTGGATCATCTTTGAAAATTCCTGGAAAATGGGAGAGGTGCCTGAGGAGTGGAGGAAAACCAATGGAGTCTCCTTCTCTGGAGATATTCAAAACCCACCTGGATGTGTTCCTCTGTGAACTTCTGTAGGTGATTCTGCTCTAGTAGGGGGCTTGGACTAGATGATCCTCAGAAATTCCTTCCAACCCCTACCATTCTGTGATGCTGTGATAAAACTTGTAGTTTGTTTGGGTTTTTTTTTCCCTGTGCTTGTTTATATGATGAAGGTCATGTTATTTTTAAGGAATTTCAACCCTTCATTACATGTAGCAGACTACAAATTCCACTGGGGAGATCTGAGGTCTGGTTAATTCCTTTTGCCAACCTGTTATCTCACTGAGCCATGGGATTTATAGCAAAATCAACGGAAAATGACAAATATGTACAGCTCCCAGATCTTCATGATCATTTAGACTGTTTTTACAGACTCACAAGATAAAAATACCAAATTTCAGAGGAAAAATATTTCAGTTTATAACTGCTATGTAAGTCAGGTAAACCTTAAAATAAAAAGGTTTCTCTATCAGGTGAAAACCAATCAAGTCATCATGCTAGCTTTGAAGTCATCCCATTTCAGCAAACACCTTTTATCTATTTCAGTGTTCTGTAAACTAATCTACTGCTGATGAAGAAATATGCAAAATGCAGAAATGACAAGGAACAACAGAACCTTGTCCTACCTACACACAGACGCATTACAGACTTCAGCAGGTCATGGGAAAAGCCAGTTCTCAATCTCATAATATACAAAATCATGAATTCCAAAAGCAAAAAAAACTTAATGCTTTCTGCTTACCTGATACGGGACAATACTTCCATGAGCAGTTCCCCAGCGTTTTGCTTCAATTTTGCAATTAAGGAAATCAGCTGCTACATGAGTGAGACATGCAACCTGGAAATGGAGAAAAAGTAAAGTATTAGGAAAGGTGAAATTTCATCGACAACTTTTCTAAGATTTCTGTATTCTACTTATATGTGCTTCAAGTTAAAATATTTATGTCACAAAAGTATACTTTATATATATCATATTATGTACACTTTTTCAATATGAAAAAATTTAGGCTGTATCTGTATCATGGAAGTGCGTGTATAAGTTCAACTCCATAAACTCAAAAAATAATATGTATCCTGTAACAACAGTAATGCTAGATTTGTCTAGCATTAAACTACCCTAAGAGATAACACAGCGCTACCCTAAATATTTTGCAGAATGGTCAACTGCAGCAAAGAAAAATGTCAGTGTCTCGTCCAAAGTCTACTGTGAAGCATGATTTGTGGGATAGAACTGACCATTTCCTGAACCTCAATCCCATGTTTAAAACACAAAGGCTTTTTCTCAGTTACAAGATTATCTTTGTTTTCTCCTATGCCTCTCATTTCAGATACCCAAGCTATGGAAAATACTTCTGAATTCTTCAGCTCCCCATATGCTCTGTTATATTAATTAAGTGGTAGGACTTGATAAATCATCTGCCATTAGAAGATAAGGAAAGATTTATCAAGTTATTAGTCAGACAAAACTGGAAAAAGATTAATTTTCTGAAAACCACAGCTTGCTAATTTGGTAACCATAATTTGAGGGGATAAATATATACTTTGTAAGCATGAATCTTAAAAGAATTAAGTGAACATTTATGATGCAGTAATACATGAAAATCAGTGGCTGTTATAATCAATGGCGGATTCATTATTCTTATTTGAGAGAATGCAGTGTGCAACTATATCTGAAGCCAAGCAATGAAATAAACCATAACATATAGCATGCAAGGTTATCACTAATTCACCAGACACAATATATTTGTTTTATGCTGTTTACCAGTTGTGTCAGTAAGTGCAACTGCTTGCCTAAACAATAGGACTTATGACCATTTTTTTCCAAAAATATTTTATTCATATTTCTTCCCTAGATGGAAGAAATTTGCTATGATGAGCCAAGTGTTGTTTACACTATTCTGTGCCTATTAATCAGCCAGTCTACAACAAAACATGCAGTAATTAATTCATAGTCCACCATTCATATTCCAGTACGTAAATTATATCAGACTTTCTTGAAAAGTAATGCCATTTTCTTATCATTTCTCCATATATGCTAAAAAGGCGATGTGAATATGTAACTCTCACATTTAAAGAAAATATATTTAATTGTAAATCACAGCTACACTAATCTAGTCCAGAAAAAAAACCTAGGAAAATATACTGCTAATAAGAATTCAACTGCTGCTAAAAGCTATGTTCATATATACTAACTACAAATACAATTCCCTACTCCTGAGTACTGCTAGAAAACACTTTGTAGCTAGATTACAGCTGCAGCTTATTATATCCCAGCATCACTTCATTCAGCTAAAATACTGAACAATGTCTAGTCTGTCTTTCAGTCCCCAAGAAAATCTCAGCAGTTAAGGAAATGGATCTGGGAAGGACATAGAAAGGACTTTTTCTTCTGATTTGGAAGTTTCCTCAGCAACACAGAATGAAACACACTGTTATTATAGAGAGACTTTAATGAGTCGGAAAAGTGTGTCATTTATTAATAACACACACCCTAGACCCATCATTCTGGTAATTTTTCAATTTGGGGTCACACTCCACAGTTGTTTTTTATTCCCTACCACAGCAAATAGCTATGCAATGACAATGAAATAATAATTTTTAGATATTCTTCTGTATTTGTATTAAACACTACACAGCTTCTGTATTCCACAGAAATTTCACTGACAGGTGAGATGCATCCACTGCAATGGGCTTTTACTTTTTAAGACACCAGAATGCCCTTTGTGATACCTGCATTTAACTTTTCACATTTCTGGAAGGAAACACTGTACCAAACTTAACTCTAGGAAGGACACAGTGAGTCAAAACCTAGTGAAATAGAAACCCTAAAATACTGATAGCCAAGATTACAATCCATTTATTTTTTTTATACTTTATACTGTAGAAACAGAGCTATGAGTTTCATGAATAAAATTCTTCACAAGAAGTTTCACAATAAAAACTTTTATCCTTAAAAAAAAAGATTAACACAGTGTTGAAAATTGCTGCAGCTTTCTCAATGAGATGAATATATTTCTTTCAGTGGTGGAGAACATACACATCTAGATTCCTCCAAAGCACTTGTTCACAGTACAATAGGAAAAGAAGAATTAAAACATAATACTCTCTAGATAATGGAATTGCACCACTACAGCTTCTGCTTAAAGACTTATTTCAGTAGCAATAGACAGCAAATGCCAGGGAAGTCACAAGCTTAGTAAAGACGAAGCAATTTTGGAACTGAGTTGGAACGTGATACTTAGTCTGAAGAATAATACCATTTCAATGTATCAATGACCTGCTTGAATGCATATGCCCATGTATCCTGGAGAAACTGGTTTACTTATTATTGGTTTTTTTCAATAAAACAATAAAACATGAAGCAAAAAGGCTTTTAGTTCCCTTTGACTTCTTTCTCTGATTTGGGTACCTACCACATAGTCAGATCAGCCAGCCAAAAAAGAATTAGTAGTAGTAGTATCATACAAATAAACTTACACTGACAAGACCAAAGTAAGTATTTCAGTGCTTTGTGTTTAATGTATAAACACACTTAGTTAAGTGAACTCTGTGGCCTTCTGCACCTTTCAAAATAACTCCTTGATGAATTCAGCAGACTTAAAAAATTATTCTATTTCTACTGTCCAATGAAACTACTATAAGACAGTCCTAGGACTACTGTGCTTTTCCCTTTCCTCTCTTTCTTGCTTAGTTCATTCTCTTTGGTATCTCCAAAGATTTACTCTCACTAAAAAGACACTATCCAAAAAAATCTTTCAGCATATACATTTTATGCCCTTAATTAAGAGCACAATCAATTTATCTACCTATACCTTACGGCTGCTAAGCAAACTGCTGAGCTATAAGCATAAAAAAAAGATATTCCAACTGAACATTTCTACAGATATTATAACCCCTAGGAAAAAATGTTTTTAACAAAATCAGTCTATTTCTCAAAATTCCTCCATAATTCAAGATTCAGTTAGGAACTGACTGCTAGAGACACTTATTACAATAGGAATATCTATAGTAAAATCAATCTCTCAAAATGAAGCTTGGACGCATTTGTAATCCATATTCAGTTAAGTATTTCAAAATCTCTCTTTAAAACTGTTTTTCTGAAAACCTATAGACCTATTTCTTTTTTCCTTTAATTAAGAACTAATCCTTCAAAGTAACTTTTAGACTAGTACAGATGTAGTACAATAATAAAGCAGGTGTAGTACAATAATACAGACATCTCTGTATTAATTTACTTGCAGAGACAGATCTATGGACTGTAAATACGTATTACCAAATATCTACAGATAAGCTTTTCTTTATTTCACATAAATAAAGGGAACACACACTTCAACATTCCTTTCCAATATTAATGTTGACAGCCAAATCACCTATTAGCATTACATACTTACTTAAACCAGAACAAAAAGAGAGCTGAATAAGGTCTGAAAAGTTATACTTAGCTTATGATGGAATCAGACAGATGAGGAATAAGATACTGAAAACCACAATGTGAGCAGACAAAGAAAAGAGACAGAATTTCAAAAGATTTTTTCAAGACAGCACATCAAACATAATATATTACAATGAGTTCACCAAGTCAATCATTTACACGCAAGTTCAACAAGTATACATGAATAACAAAAGAAGACAGGAAAGAGGAGAAAAGTTCATTTTAATTATATTCTTTACTTTCTTCTCCTTCCAATTTTGTGTCCCCTTTCCTGCCATATATCGTAACAAGGCTTTGAATCTTAGCCAAGCTAATTCATATTTTTTCTCATTCTTTGTTTACTTTTTATAAAGTAGGTATGCAGATTGTCTTTAGGAACTTTGAGACACAGGCATTTTGCAGCAGCATAGACAACTTATTTTACTGTACACTAGTAGCCAAAATATTAATTTATAACTTTGTAGAAAAATTCTTCCTGGAAAATTTCAGTGCCTCCCTGTTGTGCACAGGCCAACAATCTTCTTATGCCTTTTCCATATGTCTGGTGACATGGAAAAAAAAGATCTTTACATAAGAACAATGTGACCATAAGACCACAATCCTCACTTGGTGTACAATGACAAAGCTCTCTTAAAATCACTGATCATATGCTAGTATTTGCCTAATGAGTGATTTTACTGGTTTACATGTTTTCCCCTCTCCATGTTGCAATAAATAGTTTGACACTAATAAATCAACATTCCAGTTAGATTAATTTTACTTTTGTAGTTGCCTCCCATCACCCATCTCATTTGCATTGAAGCTGCTTCCATGGACATGTGCATGGGGTGACACTTGGCACTTGCTTCTTGAGTGTTTTTTTCATTCTCTACCAAGAAAACCTCACTCGATCTAGAAGAATGCCTCACTCTTTCAGTTGAAGTCTAATTACATTTAGCCACAAGGCTTAATAAGAATAGAAATAAGTTCTTAGTAGTCTGCAATCACCTCCTTGCTGACATGGACAATTGCTGCCGAAAACAGTGCAAGCATGTTTTATATTACATCCTAAGCACTGACCCAACAGGTTCAGGATGTGACACCACACCACAACAAACAGTGCTGTTCTACCAGTTTTTAGGCAGGCAACTATGTGTCATGGTCTATACAGTTGCTCTATCACCCAATGCCTCCTCCTCCTCCCCTGAGGAGGGGTTCAGGAAAATGAAAGGAGATTCATGGGTTGAAATAGAAATATATTTAATAAAATAATAACAAAAACTCATATTAATAACATAACAATATAATATAACAATATTATTAAATGCAGAGTTATACTCAACCAATATTGGGGGGAGTAGGTCTCAAGGGTAGGATGGTAAACAAGTCCCTCTAGAGATGCCAGCCATGGAAGAGGGAACAAGAAG